TTCTTACCTTTTGACCTTATGTAAGTTTTATAGTCTTTTATATGCTTTACCTCACACTTAATAAGCAAAATACTTGACAATGTGAAATGTAAACGCATTCATCTGATTATAATTTTTTGCCAAACATACAGTTTAATCTAAGAAATAAAAATAAAAATGAAATTAACATATTTTTGCCTGAAAATTGCAAATTGACTGTAGATTGTTTCCTTCAATGTATACTTTTAACACTAAGTCTATGTTTGTATTATTAACACCCCAGCTTTCATTTTTTCTAGTACAAAAATACAATTCATCAAACTGCAATATCTTTTTTCGGTGCTTTACAATATGCTTCACATTCAAATTAAAATTTTGCATAAATAATATAACATATATTTTTTAAAAAATCATATTAAATCTGTTAGTATTTAATATGCTATTAATTTTAGGAATAACCCAATTAAAATTTATACGCATACACGTAAAATTTAATGTGCCAATGTTTGGTAAAATTCACTCTATCATGTAATTTTTAGTTAGAATTTGAGTGATGCTGTAAGTGTTAGCATTTAAATTTACTTCAAAAATTGATTATAAAAATAGTATCAACTGGGACATGCCATGAGTGAAAAAAATAATGATGATAAAAAATTGAAAAATACAAGAAATAACTTTCTTCTTATACGTGAATTGTTAATGAAGGTATAATCTTGATATTAATATAATACAAAATTAATTATATATGAAAGATACGTTTCCTTCCTGTTTTAATACAGATACTTGTCTCATAAATCACAGTGCAGAATAAAACTGTATTTTCATTATATTTTCCTTTCTGTTTCCTGGTAAGAGCAAGAACTTTGATCACTTTAAATCTAATAGTTTCCTCCAAACCAAAAAAGACCATTGATTGTCTTCTGAGGTTTCACAATTAACTAATCCAGTCTGCTGAAGTGTGAAATGACCATTACACCTCTTATTTTAAAACGTACAAGGTATTTTTTTTCAACTTTTTTTTTTACAGTTATCTCCCTTAATTTTGATTCCAACATTCTGTATTGACTTTTTGCGTGGACCCTGCGGTCCATACAGTAAATATATAAGCGAAGCTAAACAGGATGCCATGAGCAAACGACAGGCTACGCATGCGCGAATATGCTAGAGAGTTCGCACCTTAGGCAACTTGTCCGTATAATAATTCACCCTATTCGAATTAGAATCAATGTCATTTAATGGCAAATCGCGCATATCGCATCTATATATTTAGGGGCAGATCCAAATTTTTTTCTTATACGCAGGTAGGTTTAGGTTACAACCAAATATTCTACTTGCCTATATGATATGACGTCATAGTAAGCTATATGACGTGAAGTTTAGAGATAACAATTTCTTATAATCGATATCTAAGATTGATTTGAGGTCGTAAAAATTAATCAATATATGCAGAGGCATAATACAAACAGAATTTTGTCGTATCTGTGTCTCTGTAGTTATCACAGGGGTTAAATACCAAACCCGTGACGTCATAACTGTTGATCATGCAGTAGCAGAGTGAAAGTGAAACGTAACGAGAATTCATGTAAACAAACACAAGAAATCGGAGTTTAAAAGCATTTAGAATGAATACCATGTGTGGTTCATGTGGGAATAAAGCTTATGAATAAGGTATGGTAATATACTTCAACAATTTCTTCGTAAAATTAAAGCATGGAGGGTGTTTACTTGCCGATCAGCCTTTTCTCTGTCGTTCGAAACAAATAAGATGCAAAAGTTCAACACTACGCCGCACAATTTGAAACTTAATTTTTGTTTCTATCTAAAGATCTTATTCTATTGTTTTTGGAAAGTGCTGCTAGAATCGTATGGTTTACGGGAATTAATGCATTTTTTTCGATGTTATGAACAAAATGTAAAAATTTTGGGAAGGTTTCGTCAGAAAGTGTTGAATAATTATTTCTGTGATAGGACAGTAGGATTCTAGCAGCACTTTTCATGGTACAGAGATGTTTTTACATAATTATTATTACAAATTTAAATTAATTATCCCCGGGGTAGTGTTGAACTTTTCACTTTTTCATTAAGGCATATTTTCTAATAATAGACGTCACGTGGTGACGTCGTGGTGAAGTGCTTCATGTAGTATAAGTCCCATTGAAGTCTATACAATGCATAATTATAAAAAAAGTTTTATGCTTGACTACACCGATTTTTTAGTGTTACATAATTATAAAAAAGTCTTAATTCGCCGAATTTTGGTCTATGTGCTGCCTTAACATACCCGCGTACGTATACTTTTATTGATTCGCCATGTTTCAGGCACAAGCATTTCAAAAAGTAGGAAGAACTTGCAGTATATCAATACATGTAACTAACAACTTGAATGAAAAACGTCATTTAACGACTAGCTAAAGCTTTTAAAGGATAAAACAAGTTTTCACGGGCATTAATTTTGTGCATCAAGGCTCGCAAAATAATTTGCTATTTCAGTCATCCAATTACCTCTAATAGAGGTCGGTAGCAACAGTTTTTATTGTGTGTGTGTGGGGGGGGGGGGCTCTGACAAAAAAATCTGAGTACAACAGAGCTGTGCCACACGTGAACCATCAGATCTATTTTAACCATGATAGATTTCTCCCGTATAAATCGGAGATAAAATTAAACAGTTTTGCTTTGAAACTAAAATCCATTGGCGTCGGAAGCAAATTGAAAGTTGGGAGGGGGGAGTGCTAAGTGTAAAAAAACCCAAAAAACTATACCTTCAAAAAACCTGACAAGCAAAAGAAAAAAAAAAGGTAAATGTCATTTTCCCAAACACGAAAATCCTTTTTCGAGGGGGGGGGGTCAAGTTCAAACCTCAGTACCACCACTTTCCTCTTTTTAACGTATACTGCGACTTGTCGGTGGAAAGTTTGGTGGGGGGCTAAACCTACGCAGCAATGTTCAATGTCTATACTAAATATATATTTGGAAAAAAGGGTGGCTAAGACCCCCCCCCCATCTACCCCGGTTCCGACGCCTATGTAATCAGTCACAAGATGGCAGATCATTGTATTTTTATACATTGAATTTCATTAAGAAACACATGCATATGGTCCACGTATTGCAGTCCATTTTTTAAGGACAGCAACTTGTATTGACTTTATTGAAGTAATATTTATTTATTGTAACAGCTTTAAAAATTATTTATTTAACAATATTTAACAATATTTAGAATATCTAAATAAATGTATAAAATCATACAGTAACAGCAAAAACAAATGCATGAACATAAAATCAAAATTACATGATATGAATAAAAGAACGTAAGTATAAATTATATACATGCAATGAATGAAAATAACAGTAGGTTATACTATTAGTCACACTGGTATATTCATAATAACAGTAATTCATGTGAGGTCTCACTATAGGTGAGGAATTGGTAAATACAAGGATACCTACAAAAATCTTTAATTTGAAAAAAATGTTCTGGAAATTATAAAGCACACCTATATGTAATTCAAAGACAAAACGTAGGTTTACTAAACAAAATATCTTAAACTGTTTTGTTTAATCGAGGGAAAAAACTATTAAAAATGTCATAATTTTTTTTTCAAGGCAAAAAACTTATTTTCATCCAGATTGCCAATGAAAATAGTCTTTCATAAAATGGTTATTAATATACATTCTATCGAAATTCATAGTGATAAGGCTTTAAAATTGAATTCATTTTTTGTTTCATTTTCTAAATACATGTCATTGAATTATAGCTATAGCAATATGCATAAAATATTTATTAATCATTTATGTATCACCAAAAAAAAAAAAAAACTGCAAAAAGTCATTTACTTAAACTTTTTGATAAAGTATATCCGTTTTTACGCCCCCCCCCTCTCCCTTACAAAATATAAGCAATCATTTGAATTGTTCACGTTAATGATAGGAATAAAATTTATTGGAACTTTTTGGAAAGTTATTTAGATAACGAAAATCTCAAAATATATCAATATATGATATTGTTCACTACAATATCTTGAGGGCAAACGATTTTTTTATGAAAGAAGATTTACGGTTCTAATTATAAACTATTTGAATATTTAACATAGGCAGCAGATGTTTAAAAAATACATTTTTCTTACAGTGTTTTAAAAAAATTATCTCATAAATGCAAGGACATATATTTACAAATTGAGCAGGTCGCCTTAGTTTCGTTATGGAAATCTGTTTGCTCACAACGTTGCATTAATGAGACAAATCTTTCATAACATAATTATCCAAAGCTTATACTTATATTCTAAACTCATTGCCTTGAATACAGAACTGATGTTAATTGTATTTCAAAATCCCTATGCTATATATTCTTGGGTAAGTTACATTTAATGGGAGAATGACTGCAATAGCTTCTGCCTAGTGTAAGTGTAGATTTTTATTTGTGCATATGACATTGCACTTCCACAGGTTTCAACATTTTTGACTTCAAACTAAAATGCATATTCTAACCTTTGACCGTATGTAAGTTTTATAGTCTTTTATATGCTTTTCCTCACACTTTATAAGCAAAATACTTGACAATGTGAAATGTAAACGCATTCAGGTTATTAAAATTTTTTGCCAAACATACAATTTTATTTTAAGAAATAAAAACAGAAATAAATTAACAATATTTTTGCCTGAAAACTGCAAATTGACTGTATCTTGTTCCTTGCAATTTTATACTTTAAACACTCAGTTCATAAAAAAAGTTTGAAATTTGACTTTATCAAAAACGTTGATGCCTATGTTTGTTTTCCTAACTCCCAATCTTAGGGTTTTCTAGTTCTAAAAGACCATTCATCAAACTGAAATATTTTTTTCGGTGATTTACACGATTCAAAAAATATAATAAATATAAAAATCATAAAATATGATAACATATATTAAAAATTTTCATATTAAAATATGTTAATATTAAATGTGATATTAAATTTAGGAATAACGCAATTTCAATTTATGTGAAAGCACATAAAATGAAATGTGCCAATGTTTGGTAAAACGCACTCTTTCATGTAACTTTTATTTAGAATCTGAGTATGCTGTACGTGTAAGCATCTTAAATTCACTTCAAAAATGATTTATACATGTATAAACAGTATCAGCTGGAACATGCAATGAGTGAAAATAATATTAAAAATGAAGATGATTAAAAGTGCAGAAATACAAGAAATAACCTTCTTCTTAGACGTGGATTGTTAATGAAGGTATAATCTTCAAATATAATACCAAATTAATTACATGTGTAAGATACGTTTCCTTCTTGTTTTAATACATGAACTTGTCTCATTAATCACAGTGCATAATAAAACTGTATTTTCATTATCTGTTCCTTTCTGTTTCCTGTTAGGAGTAAAAACTTTGATCACTTAAAATGTAATAGTTTCCTCCACACCCAAATAGGACCATTGTTTGTCTATTAAGGTTTCTCATTTACCTGATCCAATCTGTTGAAGATGTGAAATAATCATTATACGTCTGTCACGCCACTGAATAAAGTAAAAAAAAAACAGGAATTGAACTTGTGTGGTTACATAATGTAATACTGTGCAAGCTTGTTTGCCTTTCTTGTTTATTTGAATGCATTGTAGCAACGCACTTTGAAAATTTACTCACTTTGAAAAAAAAATTCAATGTGCGTTAAAATTGAAACAAAATCAAGGCACCTTGAATTTTTTTTTAAGTGCGTTAAATTTCGGACACACTCAATGCACTTTGAAAAAAAAAAATTTCAAAGTGCATTGAGTGTGTCTATACATTTATTACCACTAGGGCATTTAACGCACTTTGAAAAAAAATATGTATGAAACAAAAAATTCTAGATAAGGAGTATAGTAATTGGGATAATCAATTTGTAATAATGATATCTTTTGAAAAACATTTTTAATTTATATATACTCATTTATGACCTTTATTGAGAACAAGGAAAGGACGAGAAGAAGGTCTCTCAGATTAACTCTTTTTTTTTTCTTATACATTGTACAGAGCCGTCGGTAGCAAATTGAAAGTGGATCCCCAAGGTAAGCCTCAAATTCCATTGCCTTTATTATGTATATCCTTGCAATTAGTGTGCCTACCCTCCCCCTTCCGGTACCAATGCCTTTGCTACACCAAATATATGTATGTGAAAAAAATTAGTATGACGTTGAAATTTTCAATTAATTTTAGTTTACATAAAATGCATGCAAATTGAAAAGAAACAAGTACAGTTAAACATTCAAGAGAGAAAGAATTTTCAAAGCATGGAAAATTCAAAATCGCTCACTTCCACATCCTGAAGTGACCTTATCACCAAAAAGTTATCAAACAGGATCAATTATTTATCATACCTAAGATTTGCTATAATAATGACCAAGCCATATACTTTTTTTTTTCAAAGTGCGTTAATATGGTGGTCGATATTAACGCACTTTGAAAAGATTTTTTTTTCAAAGTGCGTTGATTTGGTCCAAAATTTAACGCACTTTGAAAAAAAAAAAATTAAAGTGCGTAATTTTTAAAAGCGCTTTGTAACAATGCATTCGATAAGAGATTGAATTTCTATGCCAGTAATGCAGTTTCATAAATATTACAAAGAATATATCTTTTTTTTTCATATTAAAAACTCAAATGGAAAGAAAATGAAATTAATGTAATCGTAAACAATTGCTATTTTAAATCAAAATACAAGAGCCAATACATCTTCTCAAGTTATTGGATAGTGTGTAGATTTAGAAAAACACAGTTATCATTAACTCTTACCTGAAGCTTTGACAATTCTGTTTCTTTTCAGGACATGTCCATTTATCAAAGTTTGTCATTGATTTCTTTGCAGGTTCTAAAAATCCTTAATGATCCGTATTAAAGCTTATCACTTTGATATCAGTGAAAAAGTATTAAAATTTCTTAATTTTATCATTGTGTGTTAAAGTAAAATAATTCTTTAAATCTAAATACATACCTTTTAAGAAAGTAAAATACAGTAAGGCTACACAAATCCCAACAATAAAAAATACGAAAAGGACTGAGATGCCAAAAATATGATCCCAGGAACTGTTAAATCAAAAAAAAAGAGTTTTATCAGATACAATAGGTTGATTTGAATTATAAGATGCTTCTTGGTTTGTGGTTTGATTTGATTTTTATTCAGGATTTGTTATTCAATAAGCCTTGGCGAGAGTATTGAAAACACAACGAGTTGAATAATATCCATCTATAACCACAAACTAGTGAAGGACCCATGTCTCTATTAAAACCACAATACTAAGTATTTGAAATTTTATTTTTAGGGTGTACACATAGGCAAAGGAATCAGATAATTAGAGATTCTTTATTGTGAATCTACTTTGTTTATCAATGTCATGCAAAGCAACAGGTCCGTGGGCCACTTTGCTTATCTGAGTTTCTTTAGCAGAATGTTTTTGTAATAGTTATTTATATCTTAAATACTAACTTTAACCCAATATTATGGCCTCCACCATAAGTTTGCATCATTTGGTATAGCTCCTTTTTATCCCAGGTTTGAACAATATACAATGTACATTATGAGCTCCTAACCGGTGAAACCGGAGGGGACTATAGAGTTCCTCTTCATCTGTTCGTCCGTCCTTCTAGCTGTCCGTCCATCAGTCCGTCTGTCCATCAGTCTGTCTGTTCTCGTTCCTTTTTTCTAAAAGCTTGCAGATATTAAACTGAACTTTGATATGTGAATGTATCTTTATGAGTAACAGATCAAGTTTGAATCTCGTTTCGCGTCATCAATTTTGACAAAATTATGGCATTTTTTATTTTTCATAATCGCTTAAGATCAAATTCGTGCTGCGCTGAATACAAATGGTCAACATAGGTATGAAGCAAGAAAAAGACGTAAAAAAAAATGAGTTGAATTTTCGTCTTTATGTTGATTATTTTTTTTTAGATTAAAGGCATTCAAAACCTCAAAATCAAGCTGTTTTACCTTCGCTATAACTTTTGCATATTAAAAAAAATGACTTTTTAAGGAAAAAAGAAAACCCGGCAGGGGACATGTATTGCTTATGCAATACTTTCAGAATGCTTGTTCTGCAATTTGTACTTTTAGTTTTTACTCAGTGGCCAAAGGATGCCTGATAGAGCTTAGTTTGACTTTCATATCAACAATTTGGTGTAAAATTATCATTCTAAAAATGTGATAGTCGATATGTGGACCTTATTATCTAATTTGTTTTAGTAGTTTGTATTTTCTCTGGTCCATATTTTGAATTCTCCCATTGGACTTTGAGATTGACTACTTTTCCTTATCTTCATATTTTATTTCAAGACCCAAAACAATGTTATGTCAGATCTGAGATGTTTGAAAACGATGTAATATCACCAATATTTACTGAAGGGTAAGGTACCTAAGATAAGGTAAAAGGTAATGTAAGATGGTAAGCTGGTGATGAATATATATATTTTTGATGTTTAAGTTTGTTTAGTTCTTATAAAACACAAACAAGAGGCCCATTGGCCACATCGCTCACCTGAGTAACTTGAGTGATGCAGATCTTTTTTAAAGATTTGTTCCATATTTATTTCTATGTAAAACTTGGATTCCCTATTGTGGCCCTGCACTACCCCTGGGGGTCATGCTTTTAACAATTTAATATCTACACTACGCAAGGATGCTTCCATATACGTTTCAGCTTCCCTGGCCCAGTGGTTTCTAAGAAGAAGATTTTAAAAGATTTGTTCTATATATTTCCATCTAAAACTTGGATCCCTATTGTGGCCCCGCCCGGAGGGGGGGGGGGGGGGGTCATGATTTTAACAATTTAATATCTACACTACCCAAGGATGCCTCCATATATGTTTCAGCTTTCCTGGCCCAGTGGTTTTTGATAAGAAGACTTTTAAAGATTAGTCCTATATATTTCTATGTAAAACTTGGATTCCCTACTGTGGCCCCGCCCTACCCCGGGGGTCATGATTTTAACAATTTGATATCTACACTACCCAAGGATGCTCCCACATAAGTTTCAGCTCTCCTGGCCCAGTGGTTCTTGACAAGAAGATTTTTAAAGATTTGTTCTATATATTTCTATGTAAAACTTGGATTCCCTATTGTGGAGCCGCCCTACCCCCGCGGGTCATGATTTTAACAATTTAATATCTACACTACCCAAGGATGCTTCCACATGACCCCCGGGGGTCACGATTTTTACAATTTAATATCTACACTACCCAAGGATGCTTCCACATAAGTTTGAGCTTTCCTGGCTCAGTGGTTCTTGATAAGAAGAGTTTAAAGTTTTGTTCTATATATTTTATGTAAAACTAGGATTCCCTATTGTGGCACCGCCCTACCCCCGGGGGTGATCATTTTAACAATTTAATATCTACACTACCCCAGGACGACGCTTTCATATAAGTTTCAGCTTTTCTGGCCCAGTGGTTCTTGAGAAGAAGATTTTTAAATGACCCAACCCTATTTTTGTATTTTCTTGATTATCTCCCCTTGGAAGGGGTCTTGCCCTAGATTTTAACAATTTAAATTTCCCTTCACCCAAGGATGCTTTGTACCAAGTTTGGTTAAGATTGGCCCATTGGTTCTTGAGAAGAAGTTGAAAATGTGAAAAGTTTACAGACGGACGGACGTACGGACGGACGACGGACAACGGGTGATCAGAAAAGCTCACTTGAGCTTTCAGCTCAGGTGATCTAATAAAAGGAAAATGATGCATATTATATGTAAAATCTATATCAAATGTCCTGTTAGTCTGAGAGACCACATTACAGCGTCAGGAAGATCACCCTCCAGTTGATATACTCGGGTTGATATGAGTGGAAAAAATTGCAGAAAGGGACGTTCAGCTTTATAAATTCCATCAACATTCTTTAACATCTGATAGAATTAAGTTTAGTTCATTTTAAAACAAATCAAGGTTTGAAATGTTAATAATTGCATTTATTGCACAGATATTTCAATATGATCAAGTTAAATGCCTCTTAAACCAAAAATGTTTATTTCTAGTCTGTATATGATAGGGCTTCACTAAGGAGTTTTACTTTATTCACTTAAAGATTGGGAATCGTTTCATCATAAATGATATTCCCTGCTTTATTAATTAAAGAACAATTTATTTTTAAAACATCAGATCAAACCCATTTTTTTCACCAAGACGCAACAACCAATTCAAAGTCCATATGATAGTATTTGTAAATTGACCACACGTTTTCATGCATTGATTTAATGTAATATTGAACAGTAAAAACATTACAAATAATCAATTAACGGCTTCACCTCGTGATCGGCGTTATATGTATATCTGGATCGTGACTGATTCATATTACATTATTATAATGTGATAGCTATAGGACAAAAGGAACGCCGCTATAGATACGTCAACAGAGTACCTCTGAGGTTAAAATTCATATTATAAGTTATTGTTTATATTAAGAGATTTGCAATGAAGTAAATGTAGAATTGACATAACATTCGACTCGTATTTAACAGTCGCTGCTGAAATTTGAAATAGAAAAATAAACAAACCTCTCCTCATTATCTCCGTTCACAATTGACTTATTTGAATTCATATATTCGATAGATTCTTCCGTGCTAGTAGGTTCATTTTGACAACACTGATTGCAATCGGCGTGTCTTTTTTTACGTCTTTTAAAGGACGGTCTTCTAGAGGACGTGCAGTTGGTATTGCCGATCAATTTTGTTGTGCCCGGAGTTGACGTTGAAGGTATCAAGCTTGTTGTGGATACATCGGTTGACATCACAGTGCTTTGAACAACAGTCAAAGACTGTATTTTTTTCAAACATGTCGCATCTGCAATAAAATAATCAAAATAAATAAAATTTTTCGTTCATGACACTACCAGGACTTTGCATTTCATTCTTATATTATGTTTGTGCATACTTTTTTTCTAAATTGCCGTTATAATTATTATAATATGAATTTATCTCATAACATTACGGTCATTATAACTGAAATGGAAATAGTCAAACTGCGTACAGGTAATGGAATCGTTTGAGTAATGCTGGAACGGACACTCTGGACAAGGAACATTAAAATCTTCTATTACTCGTCCTATTTTATTGTCGAACTGGACACCGTATTTGCCTGTAAACAAGTGAACAAAATATACAAATGATTTTCTACCCCTTTCCTTTCCTTCTAACAATACTTTAAAACAAGGAGAACTGTTTAAATACCTGAAGGATTTAAATAATATTCTTCAGGATTTTCAAAGTTCCTATAGGAACTATATATTTTTAAAAGCCAATCTCTCACCTGACAGATGAGATTTATCTAAAACTAAGGTAGTTTTTCTTTACTTTGTGAATGATGATTTTCTAATTAGTATACATGCTTTTTATCTAAAATAAGGGTTTGGCGGACGCCGATTTGCCTTTTTAAAAGTTGTAAATTTCTTTGGTACAGTGTTTACAGTTAAAGTTTGATGTTATTAAACATTCCAAATAGATTGGTCTTACTTATATACATGATTTAGTATGTTTGATTTTGATTTTAAATTCACTACTGGACGAAAAAAGTGCTGAGAATCCCAAATTTTACTGATAAATTTTGATAATTACTGATACTGTGCTGTTGTTGCTGATAGATACTGATATTTACTGTTATTATTACTGTTGTTGCTGATATTTTTTGTTGTTTCTGATAAATACTGATAATTACTGTTGACTTTTACTGTTGAGTCTGATAAATACTGATAAATACTGTTGAGGTACTGTCGTTGCTGAGAATTGCTAATAATTACTGTTGAGGTACTGTCGATGCTGAGATTTACTGATAATTACTGTGGTCATTGTTTTTAACCTGGTAATTGGTTTAAAATAAAACAGAGGGCTATAAAAACCTTCAATTATTACTTTCTTTTACTTGAATTATCATGACAAAATTTTCACATTTCTTTAAATGTTCTGCTTGTGACAAAATTACATGACTGTATGTAAGTATGCTGATCTCAATTTCTACTATTACCTTTGTGAAAATTTTGACAATAATCAAATGAGTTATTAATAGAATGAATATATAGAAATAGAATTAATAAAAAAAAAAAATAACTGAAGAAAAAAATGGAATTTTACTTTTGCATAAAATCTTCTTGAAAAATAAACTGTAAATAAAAAGAAAATTATGCTATCTTAAAAAAGATCCATCACCGCCTTTCCCGACTCCAAGAAAATTATGTAAGGAGATCGGTGATCTTTTTTTCAATAATAAGAAAAAAGTTCTTAATGGATGGAAAAAAATTGGGATAAAAAAAGTTTCCTGCAGGTTCGAAAAGTTGGATTTGTTCCGTTTTCACTGGGTCAACTGGTCGAGTTTGGACAACATTTTGTTTTTGAAGGCCTTTTTTTTCTCGAAAACAATTATATTTATCTTGTTAAATGTTCAGTTTTCTGGTCTCTTTTTGTCGAAATATTTGAAAATTTGCTCGAAATTTAGAAATTTATTCCTTTTAAAAAGTAACTAAGAGGTGAAAACAGGTTTGAATATGTTCAATCTGTGGGCACTGATTTTAATTAATAATTTATTTATTTATTCATTTATTATAATGTTATGTGGACGTTTGTAGATCGTCCAAGAATTAAACTCCTCCACATGTACATATGTACAAGTACACACTGTATGCATGTGCAACCGGCAAATGGGGCGAGCTGATTAAAAATTAGAGGTTAAGAATCCTTAGTGCAATGGTGCATGTGTTTAGTTTGTCTCTTAAAATTTAAATACAAAATCATTTTTTATTTAAACAGTTTTGAAATCTCATTAATTTTTTTTTATTTGATTTTATGGAATGGGAAATAAGAACTGAAATGAGACTTAATTTAATATGTTACTATTAGTATATGATCAAATTGATCAATTTTAATTTTGCATGGTAAAAAGTTGAAAGGAAAACACCTTTAAATTGATTTTAATTGATCAGAAATCGGTGATCGACCTGTGATTTGGCTGTATTGTGTACATGTCTTCAGCCCCGGGGTAGAACGGGGTACAACTTGTATATTCCACGCAAATTGTAGTGGTCAGCGTAACAATGGGCACTAATTACCTATTGTTCTTCGTCTGCGGCTACCGGTGTTATCAATAAACAAACTACCTACACTGTACATGTACTCGCTACTTTGGAACAATCTTAAAGTTTATGGTCGCACGAAAAAAAAAAATCCGTAATATTGAATTTGATGACGAATAAAATTGATAGACAAAATATTTAGATAAAACACTTTGGTACTATAATAATAAAAAAAAGATATATACATGTACATCATGTACGTTGTACAGATTTATTTTAATTATTAATTCAATTCTCAAAGATCTATCTTTCTTCAGTATTTAATTTCATTTTTTAGTTTTACGCATATTTCTTCAATCAATCAATCAATCAATCATTTATTTGAATCTTTTTACCATTTTACATTAGTATACATAGACCATAAAAACATATAAAATGTAGGTGATTTTATACATAACAGTAGGTCTAAAAGGCATGCGTGAATAAGAGACTAAACAAAAAATTTTGTAGGTTGCTATAAATGCGAAGTAAGGGAAATTAGGGAAATTGGTATATTTTGTTTATCAGATAAAAGAATATCCCGGGGGAGGTGGTCACATGTATTTTCAATTCTGAATCTCTGCTAACGATGGTTTGGGACCGGTAAATACGTAGACGAGAAACTGACTTCAATTTTTAATTTAAAAAAGTGTGCAAAATATACAATCATATAGATATAAAGAGAAAGATTGTTTAGTGAAGCACTTTTTTGAAATAATATTAGCATTAATTGTACACAATTGAGATGTAGGGAAACTCGACTTCGCTTTTTCCGAGAAAAAAAAAAAACCTTAAATGTATGGATTTTGAATGTCAGAAACATGACGTTGTGTATCGCACTCATGAATAAATGTTATATATGTAATATTACTTCAGCTCTGAATATTTTGTATGGTTCATTGCAATTGATTCTCTAAAATGATTTTATTTATGCATAATTATAAAAAAAATCGATAAGTATAATATGATCATAACTTGCATGACTTTTAAAACACACAACTAAAGAACAGACCTTGCCCTATCGGCTATCACTTAATTGTAAACATACTGTATTTCACCCCCTCCTTTTTGTGCTACAATCAAGTAAAATCATATAAATTAATAAACACCAAGTCTGTACTGTTCGTTTATACAAAGGTCTCGGACAAAAATGGAATTAAAAAATATATATATATATATAATCTCTGCACAAAAACGCAAGCCGTAACGATAACCCTATGGCAGAATGTACTAATAATTGACCAGATTCTAAAACGAAAGTAGAACTTTTACACGTGGTTGACATGCAACAAGCACAAAGTGTGCATTAATGAAAAAAGTTAATTCAAGTTATGATTTATTTTATTTTGTTTTTTAACTGACTGACGGCATATAACATGTTTAAGGAGTGGCGCATAATATTAGAAGCCATATGCCCATAGAATACAATGAAAAAAGAATTAGCCTAAAGAAAGACATGTATATATTTTATTGACTGAAAATCACACTGCATAAGATTTATGTAATGTATTGTACAATACTTAAGCCTTAACAAATAATTTTAAAGAGAGAGAGAGAGAGAGAGAGAGAGAGAGAGAGAGAGAGAGAGAGAGAGAGAGAAAGCTAGAAAGCGACACAATGATATAAAATTCGCAGGGAGGACATCGGAGAACAAGAGCGCGCTGTCTACATAATATATAAAAAAAAATAATAATAAAAGATGCTTCAACTTAATCATTTGTCACATTCTTCTATAAGATAAAAAAGTGTACGCTTAAGACTAGATTTTATGACAAATATTTAATACTGTCTTGGTAAAATGAGAGCTTAATTTAAAAGTAAATGGAAAGGGGGGGGGGTGTTTTCAACTTAATGTGCTCATGCATTTTCAGTTCTCCACACGGTAAAATAAATTGATATTTAAAACCATTGACTGTGTTGAAGTATTAAAGAGACCCACAAAAAGCTTTTGATGACAGTACACATACATGTGAGAAAAAATATGAGATGAGATTTTCTTAACCTTTATGAACAAATATTAAACTTTTTTAAAAAGTACTTGGGAAGAATAACCACTGCAAATACAATAGAATAATTTTCTTCAGATAATGTCATCTAGGTGTAAGGAGAAATTTAAAGAAAAAACATAAACATTAATGAAACCTTATGTTAACATTGTGGTCTAAAAATAAATATAATGAAATTAATAGCTGAAAACTGAAAACAAATTAATAAAACGTGGCTTTTTTATTTAGAATAATTCATTTTGTAATTGACTGTAATGAATTTGTTAAAATACTTTAAAAAAAACATATAATCATTTCTCAGGCTATTTTAATCCATTCCCAGGTTAAAAACAATGACCACAGTAAATATCAGTAAATCTCAGCATCGACAGTACCTCAACAGTAAATATCAGTGATTCTCAGCAGCGACAGTACCTCAACAGTATTTATCAGCATTTATCAGACTCCACAGTAAAAGGCGACAGTAATTATCAGTATTTATCAGCAACAGCTAAAATTATCAGCAACGACAGTAATAATAGCAGTAAATATCAGTAATTATCAGCAAGAACAGCACCGTATCAGTAATTATCAAACATTATCAGTAAAATTTGGGATTCTCAGCACTTTTTTCGTCCAGAAGTGAAATAATCGTGCCAAAATTACAAAATAATGAAATATTATATATTATATACTTATTTCAAAATGCTACTCTTCCTATAGTTTTGGTCTGATTTCGATTATAAAACGTTTTAAAAAGATATGCTACACGACGGTATACATCTACGATTACTGGTTTTGCCAGTTCCAGTCGAAACTAAATTCAGATAAAATCTTTTAAAATGCTACTCTTTTCATATTTTTGAAAAGATTGCTACAATTGTATACAATTAGACACACAAAGAGGCAGCTTAGTTTCTAAGCTTAGTTTATTACAGAACCATTGAACATTATCCTGTTTAATGCTGTAGTCAAAATACTTTGTTATTCTTGAGATTGCAAGATAGTAGAGCTGCAGTCCTACGAAAGACTACTGGCATAGAGTTTGTGTTTGTAGTTTTTTGGTATCTTTTAAATACTGATTGGAAAAACGTAAAGCAATAAGCCAAGTCTTTAAAATGCATTATGCATGCAACTCAATTCACTATAAAGAATTGAAAATGTTAAAGAGTGAAGATCAAGAAAAATACCAGTAACATAACGTCTTGGGGAACAGACTTCCAGGATTGTTCTGCAGGAATGTACGCAATGATACACCAAATCTTCACTGGTACAAGAATCACCAACATCTTTGCAGTTAAATTCACTTGACCTTTTTTTGATACTCTCCTCATCTGTTGGGCAGCCATTTACAGAATTGATAGTTTTAAATGTTTTCGTACAAACATCGTCCTATAATGAAAGCAGAAATACATTCTTATGATCTTGGCAACAATAGAATTAAAAAAAATACAACAGGGATCAAAATTTACCATGCAGGCAATTAATATTTTTACTTTAAATATATTTGCTTCTTTTTAACTTTATATGGTGATACGATTATTTTTTTCTTGCCAATTAATCATTAATAGTACTCTGTTTCTGTCCTTATCATGATTTTACAAAATTAGGATTATGTTATCGGAAGTCCTTCAATGTTCTTTATGTAGGGAAATACTGGTACTGTGTAGGGAGAGGGCTAATATAGGCTGTGCCCAATCCTATTCACAATAACATCAGTGAATAAAATATTGTTTAAATTAATGTTCTTTATGTGTATAAACTATATCAGTCCCTTGTACTGTAATTAAAGCACTTACTGGCGTAAATCGTTTCTGAATCCTCGGCATTTTCGATTTCACGGATACTATATGATTGGTTAACAGACAAAAAAAGAAGATAAGCCTGTAACCTGACATCAACGTCAATAACGTGATGTTTCTGGCGTCTTTTGGAATCCCAGGGCGCGCCATCATCAGAGGTCAGCCGATTTCAAATATCCTGTAATTATTGATAAAAAGAACTCAAAATATAAAGTAATAAAAATTCTAGTACTGAGCACAGTTGCATCTGCTTTTACTGCCACCCTTAATCAGCGACCAATTCCCATGAAAAAAACAGTTTCAAGACTGGTCATTCATATTCATATTATATTTTAACTCACTGAAGCAATCAATTTTCTAAAGCAGCCAGTGGCTAGTGATTAAGGTCACATGCTTTCAACATGCCTTTTTTTCAACGGTATTATTGTCTATTTTGTCATATGACTTCCCCCAGACACGTTGCCTCATATCCCCTAATTAAGCATTGCTGTGAAGTCATGCCTTTCTTCATACTGTCTACAAATAAACTTGTGCTTGTCCGATGATTATTACTATCATTCCGATAATCAGACGGCAGTGATAACGAAATCGAACAGTATCAAACGAACATTAGAGTGGGTTAAATATTCTCAGAAACAAGTTGCTGTCCTTTTAAAAAAAAAGACTTCAATACGTGGACCATATGCATGTTTTTCTAACCGAAATCCAAATAAGAAAATATCTAGGTGTAGTGAATATTCATGTAGGTTTCTGCACATCTTCTACACAATGATCTGCCAACTTATGAATGAATGATTGTAGTCTCAAAGAAAAATTGTTAAATTCTATCTTCGACTAGCGGCCTTTAGTTTTGTCAGTTTAAAAAATCGGGCTATTTTAATAGATGTTGCCCATAATGGCTGGGACTTGACACATGTTCCGGATTTATACGGAAGAAATCTGTCATTGGGTAATAGAGATATGTTGGTTTACGTGTAGCACAGCTCTTCAATACGCAGATTTTTTTTTATCGGAGCCCCCCCCCCCCCCCCCCACACACACACACATGATAAAGAATTGTACAAAGTAAGATACATTTCGAAGAACCTTATGCAGGGCGAAATATAAAATGATTGATAATGCAGTTTCCGGGGGAGAAAAATAAGGATCTGTTGCGTTTTCCTCCACGATTCACGTCCTCAGTTTGAATGAAGCGTAGCAGAGTCAGCCGAGGATTGCCGATCGCCCCCTCCCCCCTCCCACACTAACACACACACATACAAATCAAAAGCCGTTGCTACAGACCTCTATCAAACGGTATTTGATTTGCTGAAGTATTAAGTTATTTTGCGAGCCTTGATGCACGAAACTAATGCCGGTGAAAACTTGTTCTATTTTTTAAAAGGTAAAACTATTCGTTGAATGACGTTTTTAGTTTATAATACATGTATCTATACTGCAAGTTCTTTCTGCTTTTTTTAAATTCTGGTACAATAGAATCAACGTTTAGTTTGTATATGTTTGAGAGAGAAATTCGGATCCACCAAAGAATATGTAAATGCGATATGCGGATTAAAAAGCTCAAACTGACTATATATAAATGGCATATTCTAATTTCGATTAGGGCGAATTATTCTACGTGCAAGTTACCTAAGGTGCGAACTCACTAGCATTCTCGAGCATGCGTAACCTGTCGTTTGCCCATGGCATCCTGTTTAACTTCGCTTATACATTTACTGCGTGGATCTCAGGGTCCACGCAACAAATAAGGCAGGAAAAAAATTTGGGAAAGAAATTGTAAAAAAAAAAAAGAAAAGTTGTTACAAAATAGCAATTCTATCAAAAAAAAAAAAAAAAAGGAATTTGAGTTTAAACCTTCCTCAAAATTATTTCTTTCCACTGCGTTTTTGAAGTGTTTTTGATACACCTCTTAAAAAAAGAAAATTCAAATTGATTTTCGGGAAAAATCAGCAAATCTCTCCACGAAAGAGAAACCGGGAAGTTTTTAACGCTATTAAAAATATAGGATTTTGTATTCAACAACTTTCAGAAACATGACTGTAACATCCGTTATCCACCCACTTCTAGTTTCATATTATCATTTCCGATTTGATTTTTTTTTATTATTTCTACGAAAGAGAAATCGGGAAGTTTTTTTGTTCTATTTTTATGCTGTGGATCACATGTCCAAGCTTCTGATTCTCCTAGAAAAAAATGAAAGCAATCTCAAAATTCTTCTATAATAAAAGTTCACATTAGGTTATATGTACCCTTACTCACTTTTAGCCTTCCTTTACACCATGCATAGTGGTTCCAGGTATCACTGCAATTAAATCTTCACTGTTTTCATACACTCTTTCAACGCCTATTTTTTTGTTTCGGACACGAACTCTTCTGTTCACAGAGTTTGGTTCATTTGTATACCATTGATCTACATTGATCTACATAACCATTCGTCCATTTGATCGTTTTTCTTTTATAATAAAGACACACATTGCTACACAACATTTATCTTTGATTCTTTTTTCCTCAACATGACTTTTTTTTTAAATTAGCGTGTGTATTAAAACTGATATAATCGCTAAAATGACCATATGACTTATGGTGATAACAAACAGCATTTAAGATCAGAAAAACAGAAAAAAGTATACTATGGTGTGGCAGATACATATATTATCCCTTTCTGTATAAATACTTTCTTAAATAAAATACTTGAGGTTAAGTTTGAAATTTTGTTAACTAGAAAAAAGTGTCATAATGAAAGATATGACCTTGAAAAGGAGAAATTAAAAAAAACTTTATATCTCTGATCACATCAACTTGTTTATTAAGATAATTTCTGTTTAATACACCGAAAACAAAATAAATGAGTACTTACGATTCCTTGTATCTTAAGCATGTCCTAAAACAAATTGAATACGGTGTGCATAAACCACAAAACGAATGTAGCTTAATTTCCGAGTAATTGAAACATGGTAAATAAAGGATTGAGTGATATGTTTCTTATGATTAATTAATAAGTAATCCTATTGCATTTCTTAATGACACTGTAAACGAAATCGACTGTGATGTATTTGATAAGTATAAATTGCCCTTTGAATGAAAGTATGTAAATTAACGAAAAGATAACAGTAATAGAAAGTAATATAAAAAAAAATCTATGTATCAATGCCGTTACAGAAAGTCAGTAATGTTTTCAACATTGTCCTTTCATTAATAAAGCAAAAGGGTATTTAAAAAGTAGATGATACAATGTATAAGGATATTAACAATCGTATTTAAAGTCGACGTATTTAAATTATATCTTCTATATATAGACCTTGTTAGCGGAAATAACATATCTTTAAGTCAAACTGTCTGGCTTGTTTCATCAAAAACTGTAAAAACATGATCCGGTTTTAAAAGTATTAAAATAGCTATGAATAAACTTTGTACAAGTTGTCCGCAAAGAGTACAGCGAGGAAGTATAAATTATTGTTATGATTAATTAAATCATTGATGACAATTAAGGAAAATTTAACTATTCAATTTTAGATTTAAAATGCCTTACATTTATAATTCGTTGCTTTTAGCAATTACTACTCAAGTTTTCCCTGCAGAAAAAGGACCATGTTTTGGGTAAGCTACCTGAAATTGATCTTAATTAGTTAAGGACAGATGATACAAACAAACTTTTGTCAAAGAATTTGAAAATAACAACTTGGGTCATGTTTAAATGAATAAAATGGATACAATACATTTCACCGTGTAATTTTTTAATTTTTTCTTCGAATTTGCACAGAAATTGATTATTAAGTGAAAACTATTTGTATAGATTAATAAGGTTGGTTTCAGAAGGGCAGATTTTTGAACATCACAAAAGGTTTACGATTTCTTTTTATATTTCAGAAGTTTTTATATGCATCAATTGCGACAAAATTAGGCCATAAAATATATACCAATGCAGACATCCATTTTTTGTTTGTATGACTGTCCTTAACATCTTTCAAAATGGTATAATATTTTTTAATGCAACACTATAATTGCAGGTTTTTCAATGGATGCTTTCCAAATACACGATGGAGTCCGGAAAATGGAACATGCATCAGTCTGTAGAAAAATTAAACTTTCAATTTTTTTGTTACTTTGGGTGAAAAAAGAAGGTACGTTAGGCACCAAAATCCGCCTAGTCCCAAAATCTGGTGATAATATTTTAATAGTTTGTCTTGGATACCCCTGTTCTAAATCAATTTATTTTTTGAAAATATCTTAAACCGTTTTCCCTACACAACTCACTAAAAATGCAATGTTTTCTAAAGAAAATAACACTGACGACGTCATGACGTTCATATGGCGTTATCAAATTTCAACGTAATGATTCCGGTACAGCGTAAAGAATTGTAAATTTTTCTACCTAAAAATTTATATTGTCTTAAATAAATTCATATTTAAGTCTATTTCACTTTATTTTTTTATTTAATCTGTTCTGAATCTTTCAGGGTTTTTTCTTTCTAGAATTGAGCTGTTCCAATTAAAAACCCCCTTTATGCAATCTGACAAAATTTTACGTCACAATAGAAAAAGCGACGTCATTGTTTTGCAACAAAAACTGTGATCAAAATATATGGCGCACTGAATACGTTCCAACTACATGCGTTGTTTTACATCGCTGATTTTTTTCCGTTGTGCTTTCTGCATATTTTCTTTCATGACTTTTGTCTATTTCGTAACATATTTGACTCTGACTGTTGTCAAACTATATGTGTATTACACATTAAAACGACCTAAGAGTGTTCTAATTAAATACAGAAAAATTGTCAACACTTCCACACTTATTCTGTTCCATGTACAATATAAGTTTTCAGTTAAACTAAATAAAACATGCAAATGACTTGTTTAAAATTCAGATTTACGACTCTTTCTTATTCAACAACGACAAAATATAATAACATGCAATGATGATATTGAGTGTAAAAATATATTTAAAAAAGGAAGGAAGAGTAGTTTGAAATGTTTTTTTTATCCAAAGTCTTGGCAAAAATTGATAGGACTTAAGAAAACTGTACAGGAATTACCAATCACCAACCAAAACTGAATGACAGAATTGTTAAACCACACCATTGCCTGATCTAAATCCGGGGTATTTTTTTCATTTATTGTAGACCAAAAACCTCCCGGAAGAAAAGTGACAATAGTTCAGATAACAAAGCTAGATTAAATGAAAAGACGTATATCCGACATTCTCCTTTTTTGTTAAGTTTTGAAAAGATCGATAACTTGTTACATGTAATACTGTTGCAACACCCCCCCCCCTCTCCCACCACAACTACCAAAAAAAAATTATAATTAAGAATATATGTAATAAAGCATACATACATGTTTATCTTTTTATAAAATTTTGGATGTTCTGAAAAGTGCCGTATTTGTCATGCATACCTTCATTATTTATCTAATTGCTTATCAAGTTATTCTAACAGCCCCCCCCCCCCAACCTCCTTCCCCGGGCATCATTGCATTAACAGTGAAAATTTACATTCAGAAAAAAATGTGGAGAGGGGCCCCAATGCAACCCCCGGATTTGGTTTTTATGTGCATGTTTGTAAGCACAATATTTGTTTACCTGTGTGTAAATCGAGTAAAAAAAACACATTTCCAAAATATTTTAATTAGTTTGGATTTTCTATAGTTTGGATCTACTTTTCGTCTAACGTAGCAAAAAGCAAATGTTCGTAATTTTCACCAGGAAGATCACATGCAGGTTAATCTTTTTTTTTTTTACACAATGCTAGATCTTGGAAAATCAGAGAGTTAGGAGTATTTATCATATTATAAACACTTTTGTCGAATGATTTGAAAAACGTTCTGACATGTTTTTTAAACGTATGTGCATGGGAAGATATTCAAGCGTTATCATTTTTAGTGGACCTGTACCAACACAACTCTTTGACAATGTAGATGCAAATGTGAAAAAAAAGAGAAATAATAGTGAAGTTTGTTTTATCAATATATTTAGATTCCCTCAGGAGACAATGAAATGATGGAACTAGTTGTATAAAAACGCAATTTTTAGTTTGCTATTCAATTTATTATCCTTAAACAACGTTTGTAGTGATACAGAATTTCAGTTTAAAGTGCTTAATGAAAGATATGTGTGAAAAAAATCATTAAATGATGTTGATTCCACAAAGTATGCATTATTATGTTTATCTGAAAAGCTCCTAAATTTTGCATGTCATTTAGCATTGCGATGATATAGGCTTATATCTCATAACTTTCCTGGTTTTTGAGTGGTCAGCCGGTCACCCACACTGAAAAAAAATAACTAGTGAAAGTCACTAAGAATACTAGTAAATTTACTGTCAATACAATCACTACCTCTAAAGGAGTTTTACTAGGTATATGGTAGATTTACTAGATAACATTAGTAAATCTAAGAATTTATAAGTAACTTTCACTAGGTATTTGAGTATTTTTACGACCACCACTCCACTTCCCACTATCTTAGCTAGTAAACAGAGTGATCACTAATCACGAAAAACGCTTTACTAGGTACACTAGTTAAATCAACTAGGTAATTCTCTCAGTGCATCCAATGGTAAAACAGGCTCGCCGTTGCTTAACTTGCCTGAAATAGAGCGAGACACTGCCATATCACCAGAAAAGCTTTCTCACTATAGCGAGGCAGTATAATTTCCCTATAAATTGTCCGCTACAGATGTTAAACAAAAATGTCAGATATATCTTGTATAAAATAAGGTTTCTAGATAACTTGTCCTCTTTTATCCTAAGCAGTGAAACTAAAGGTGGTGACCCTTTCTCAATGTTTAAATTTAAATAGATTGATTGTTTGTATGTTGTTAAACGTCCATCCCGAGATTTTTTAAAACTCATATGGAGACGCCACCACTTGCCGGTGGAATATATTGTCCTAATAACCGGCACTCATGGTCATTGAGCAGTGAAGGATCTTTTTCGTGCCAGCACTCACTGCGACACGGGGCCGCGGTTTATAAAAACTTATCCATAGGAACGGTCTCCATGTAAACTTAAATAGAAGACTAACACAAAAGTAACCTACTCAACTCCTCCCCCCACTTTCAGAACACGTGGACTTCTTGTAGGTTGGCAAGGATGGTCAGATGTTCGGATATTTGATGTTAATGTAGTGATAGAGAATGCCTAGCATCCCCCCTCCCCCCTTCTGTACACAGTGGAACTTCTTTGTATGTGCGTAAAATGTTGGGTAGACTGGGATAGAATATATTTTACTATTATATGAGAAGAATTTTATTCGAAAGACAGTCCAATGTGCAGATTTCGCACTTAAAACATGTTCTCTTTTCTATAAAATTTCTTTATGTGTTTTTTTTTCTATGACGAAGGTAATCAAATGTAGTTCATTTGTGTCCAAATGGTTCAAGGACTTTAAAGCTGCTCTAAATAAACCCCTGACTTTCGGTTTCTTTGTCTCTATTTTTTTTCGATTTTGACTAACTGGTACATTTTCAGAGGTCCTTCATGATATATAAGTGTTGACCTCTGAAATTGCCACATAACAACCTGTTTTTGTTTTGTTTTTTATGTTTTTTTTTTAAAGTGACATGCATATGTTTTTAAACTTAAGATCGGATCGAATATTGAGAAAGTATAACTTTCACTTTCATAGATCTATGGTTATGCGTAAAGCATTAGAGGATCGATTCTCATAATTTTGTTGTCAGATGTAATTGGGGCTGTATGTTTATCAATCTTCTATATATTAATTACTTGTACGTGATCGTATTGTAGAAAATAAACAATTTTTTAAAAAGCTGAATCATATGCCTGATCCTTTTTCTCAGTTTTTCAGGTCTTGTTTTATCAGTTATTTTATAATTTGAAATCTGGAAAGTACACTTTAACTATACATGTAATTCATAAATTACAGATTTAACATGTATATAACTAATCTACATTGCCTTAATACTAGTACTTGTATATTTATTCATTCATCCCCTCCCC